TACAAAAATTTGGGTATGGTTTAGGGACAGAGCAATACTCTGAAGCTAGTAACAGCTACCATGGAAATCGTCCCACAGCTTGGCCAGAAGTGGCTAGGACCTTTACCAGAACCTATAGACAGAGCGCTCTGTAGAGAAGGAAATTTTACCTGAGCTGTGACTTTTGGTAGAAAGGTGTAACCAACCTGTAGCAAGTCAGATCTAATATTACTTCCTCTTTTGATTTCTGCTAGTATGTCCTAGTAATCAAATCCAACCAGAAGTCAACCTTGCCGGTAGACCAAAAACCAAAGAAACTTGGTAATGTGGTAAAAAGAAAGTAGGATGGAGAATGGAGAGTTTGGGTCTGACAATGTCTGAGATCTGGGAATTATGTTTGGACATTTTGTTTTTATTGGATTCTTTCTGTGCAGTTGAATCTGTTTCAGAAGAATAGTTCATATTCATATTGGTTTAATAAAAATGTGAAAATTTCTTTTTAGTTAAAGAGCCTTTGGATGCAATTATTTTGCATTTTTGTGAAGAAAACTCAACATCTACATCAATAATATGAAAAAATATTATTGAAGGAGAATGGATTCAGAAACCTTTTGATTATAGCTTTCTGCTTGAGTACATAATCAACCTCACAGTCAGATATTTTCATGTCTTAGAATTATTAGCAGTACTAATTGCTTTATTAAAAGCCCCAAAGTGTTTTTATTCCTCTCAGAAAATGTTGTGAAGCACATAGATTCAGTAATACAACCCTTGGGATTTGCAAGTTAACTTGGTAGACTTCTTATACTTGATAGATATAAACCTTCTTTGAGTTTCCATTTGAAATATATTATATAAAAGGTCAAGCAAAGAAATATATACCAAAATTTTTTCAAATAATCCTCAACCTCAGTAAGTGGTTGAGGAGATTAAAAATTTTTTAAAAATCGGAAATAATTTTAATGACTAATTCCTTTGTCTCAAAAGCCAAAAGATATGAACAAATGATCCTTTATCCTATATAATAAAAGCTTAACATGCAAATCGACTGAACAGCAGAATGACTGGTGGAATGACTGGTTGCTGTGATATGCACTGACTTCTAGGGAGCAGACGCTCAATGCAGGAGCTGCCCCCAGCCAGCAGGCCCTGACCAGTGTTGGCAGGGGATGGGGCCAGCAAGTGGGCAGCACCAAACCAACCAAGGCAAGTACCAGCAGGGGGGCCCTAGAATGCCCCACTGGTAGCCCTGCAGATCGGCCCTGATCACCGGCCAGGCCTAGGACCCCTACATGTGCATGAATTTCACGCACCAGGCCTCTAGTAAATTAATTTTCTTATTTTGATATTAGATTTTAAAACAAAATCTAAACTCATATGTAATTTCTAATTTAAATCTCATAACATAATTCAATTTGACATATATTTGGATAAATTATATTACTAATTTTTAAATTTAAAAAATTGTGTATTAAAGAGATTAATATTCTTAAGTTCCAAAACTAATAAATGACAAGCACTGCAACTAAACTCTCTGCCTCCCAGTGTAGTATTATTCACATTCTACCAGGAGCTATAAAACATTTTGTGTACATAAAATGAGTTCTGGGTGGAGGGGGGTCACTGGGGATAAAAAAAAAAAAGGGGGGGGGTACATCTGTAATATTTTCAAAAATAAAGATATTTTTTTAAAAAAATCATGTGAAACAATTACAAAAAAATCTCTCAAAGGTACTGTGATAGAAATAGTGAGAGATAAATATGACAGAGAAAGAGAGAGATGAAAGTAGAGATCCATCCTAATGGTTCTCCCCCTGAGGATATTCTAATTCTTACAGAGTTCTTGGTCAAATTAAAAAACAAATAAATATAAGTAGAAGTTAGTTTTGTTTTGTTTTTTTACTTGCTCCCAGCACGCATGCACACCCTGCTTTAAAAATTATTAGTCAAGAATGCATACACCAATTTACTCTCTGAAATAAAATAAATTTGCATTGCTCAATGATCACCTTACAGAAAATGAAGCCCAAGGGTTCTAAGATACTCCATATTCAAAATTATGAAAGAAAAGGAAAAACTATGACAGGCATTGTTTAAAGCAAAAATTATAGGATTGAGAACCATTTAGATATAAGGACCATTGGAGAAGATGTTCAGATTCCTAATATTTTTCCTTCCGTAATTAGGTAAATACTGATTATTTAGTTTTGAAATACAAAAGAGAGAACATCTTAGTTTAGTTTTATATTACTGTGAAAGTATTTTTTATATGCTTATTGGCTACTTTTTTTAAACTAATATTAAGGACTTGTAAGATACTTTGCCTTTCTCTGAACGGAAATGGTTTTCTTTGTCTTGTTTGATTTATAGGAGATCTCAAGATACAGAGATGTTAGCTTTCATCCATTTGATGTTCTTTGTATCTGTTGTCTTTTCCTCAACATTGCTTTTATGAGACACCCACATTTCAAGGTATCATTGTAGTGATAACAAGTTCTGAGAATATAATGTATAGCATTGTGATTATATGATATAAAATACTGTTTGTATATTTTAAAGTTGCTAAAAATAAATTTTTAAGTTCTTATCACAAGAAAAAGAAAGTAATTATCTTTAGTGAGGAATGTTAACTTATTATGGTAACAATTTTGTAATAGAGGCCTGGTGCACAAAATATGTGCACAGGGAGAGGGGGGGCCCTCAGCCCTGCCTGTGCCCACTTGCAATCCAGGACCCCTCAGGGGGTGTTTGTCTGTTTAAGCCCAATCCCTGCTATCAGACATCCAGCAGTTGGACATCCCCCTTGCCCCTAAATGCTTGCCTGCCTACCTGCCTGCTCACCCCTAACCACTCGCCTGCCTGCTTGCTCATTGCACATCAGAGTGACTGGTTGTTCCAGTCATTCCACCGTAACAGTCACTTAGACTTTTATATATATAAATTACATCATGTTTGTTCTAAAATTGATATAATGTCATGTTAGTTATATCTCTATTTCAAAACTTTTAAAATAATTTTTTTCTAACTTGGAAACTATTCAATTTCTTTGTTCATCAGGTTCCTTATTCATAAACAGTAGGGAGCCGAAACCAGTTTGGCTCAGTGGTAGAGCATCGGTCTGCGGACTGAAAGGTCCCAGGTTCGATTCCTGTCAAGGGCATGTACATTGGTTGCGGGCACATCCCCAGTAGGGGGTGTGCAAGAGGCAGCTGGTCGATGTTTCTCTCTCATTGACATTTCTAGCTCTCTATCCATCTCTCCTCTTCTCTGTAAAAAATCAATAAAATATATTTAAAATAAAAAATAAAATATAAAAAAATAAACAGTAGGGAATACTACCACCTAGGATTGTGATGAGATGAGCATATTCTAAGTTATGAAGTGTGATGGGTATGTGGTTCCCTGTGAAAGCTGTTAAGTTATTGGCAAAAAGTCTGAGGGATGCTGTGCTAAAACCATCCAAGGTCTCTTTCAGATCTAAAAGTTGTAGAATCCTAGAAAATAAGAAACAACATTTACAGAAAATATATACCCCTCAAGTTTTATGTATAGATTTACATATGACACTTCTACCAAGTACAGATTCTTAAAGCCATATTTTTATGGCATACTCTATTCAGAGGTGATTCATACTTTTCAGGGATTCCTATATAAAATTTAATAGCTGTACTGTCTTGCTTATTTCAAGTAATGTCATATTTTGTACTAAAAAAGATAGTGTATGGGAGAATGAAAAGGTTGGATTTTTTAAAACAATAGACTCAAAATTGCTAAGCAGGGACATATAAATTCTTTAAAAAATTTAAGTAGATGCCCTTATTACCTAGGGCTTTATCTTACATGTTTGATTTATTAGTGAATGCTGAAGTGAAAAATGTCGACTCATTCAAAATATACACATCTCTGCTAATACTTATAAAATCATAAAGGAACAAAATATAGAAGACAAAGAAGTGTGTCAGTAAAATATTCACTTACAATTTTCACAATTCGGATTGTAATTCTCATTGGCAGTACACTTACTTTGAAGCAACTATTTTTCATACAGCATCTCGCTAAACTTTTTACAGCATTTTTAGGTAGGTTATATTCATTTTAGTGATGATAAATCTAAGCCTAGAGAGACTAATTTAAACCCCAAATTAAATAGTGGTTGGGCCGATATCCTTTTGTCCTTTCTTCAGTTTGTACTGCCTCCTAAAAATGTTTATTTCAGTATCAGAAAATGAGCTACAAGGGATAGAAATACTTTTCACATATATACGTACCTGCCTATTCTCACCATTTATTTTCATATTCTTGATCATATGGGAAGATTTTAATAGTCACAACTAAATATCAATTACCTTTAAGTAAAATGCAGTGTCTTCCAAACCCAAGACTAGAAAAATCACAAAACTGTTTGTTGGCACATTGCTTTGTAATATATTTGAAACTTGTGGAATATGCCACAAATAAAACAAAAACTCTAACTCACGATTTTTTTTTCTACCTCTAACAAAAAAACTCCTCTCATTTCTTTCCTTGAACTGAAGTGTTTTCTAGCATTTTAACATTCTCTTACACCCATGAGTTTTATCAGGTACAACAGTATCCTCTTCCCTACTTAGTAGGCAAAAGTGTCATTCATTAACAAAATGCACTGAAGTGATTGTTAGAACATTTGCTGTTAGAATTAAGGGACTTCTTTTCTATTGAAATCAGAATTGAGACTGAAATCATTTTGTTTTCGAGCTTTCGATATACAAATGATTGGTCATTTCTTCAAAATTCTTATACAGTCAAAATTAGGCAAAGTAGCTATGCACTGACTATACGCGAATTTAAGTCTAAAATGTAATGAAAATAATGAAATGTTTAGACTGTCTTAGGTTTAAAAGGATCACCGTGTATGAATAAGGCAAAAAGATAGTTAGCCTGCAAAGGATAACCAAAGTTAGATACAAAAATGTGTAAAATATTTCTTAAAGGAAAACATTTAAATGTAAACATTTCACAAACTTCAAATAATAGTCGATGGATGCTTTTAGGTTATTTTTAATGCACCAGGTTTATTTACCAATTCAAAAAAGCCACTTGTAAGTAGTAGATACATTAAAAATTCTTAGGGTTAACAAATTGATATATATTAGAAATATATAAGAACGGGAGCCAAGAGCAGACTGAGTCCCTACGTTATAAATAACGCCTTTTTAATAAAAAGGGTGTGCTTTATCAGAAATCCAAGTAATACCAATTTATAGAAACAACAGAATGCTGGCCACATTAAAGTTAATGGCTGGAGGCCATTAGTAGGGGATTGAAGAATGTACAAAGAAACAGAACCATCTCAAAAAAAAAAAAAAAAAAAAAAAAAAAAAGCATTATTCATCCCTCAAAGAACCCAAATAGAGGAGGAAATGACAACAGGTCCTCACAAACCCACAAAAGTTCAGGCATCAGGAGATGTTGCTAGATACATCTTCGTGCCTCTCAGTCACTAGGCCTCTCTCCATTTGGAAACCAGCTGGTGCAAGAGGCAGGTGCTCCACGCTCTTGGGGATTCCCCAGGCCCACGTGCTTCTCAGCTTCCCAAGGCCCCACTGCTCAGCGCCTCTGCGCAGGTCCCGGAAGTGCCGGCCCAGTACGTACGCGGGGCGTGGCGTGAAGAGGTGGGCGGGGCCATGAGTCGAGGAGGAGGGGCCGAGCGAGGCCCCGCCCCTCCCGGCAGCGGCCTCCAGCTAAGGCCCGGGTTCCGCGGGCTCCGGGTCCGGGGCGGGAAGGCCAGGCTCGGGCTCTCGCGGGGACGCCTCCTCCTTGTCGGCGGGCGGGCGCGGCGTCCGCTGCTCCAGGTGCAGCTGCAGCAGCGCGCGGCGGTACATGGCCTCCAGCTTCTCGAGGCGGGCCCTCAGCGCCCGGGGGCTGCCGGGCTCCCGATCGGGGCTGCCGCCTCTCGCCGTCCGGTCCGCGCCGGCGGCGGCCTCCTCGGGGCCTGGGCTGGCCCTCGCCGCCGCCGCCGCCGCCGCCGCCGCCGCCGCCTCGGGCGCTCCTCCGTCGCCTTCCTCGCCGGGGAGCCGCAGGGCCTGGCGGAAGAGGCTGCGGTTCTCGCGCTTGAGCCGCCGGTTCTCCAGCCGCAGCCGGGCGTTCTCCTCCCGCAGCCGCGCGTTCTGCCGGTCCCGCTCGTCCCGCGCGCGCAGGGCCTCCAGGTGGCTCGCCGCCAGGTCGGCGAAGCGCTCCTCCAGCTGCGGCCGGGCGCCGTCCGCACGGCCTCGCCAGCCCCCGCCGCCGCCGCCACCGCCACCGCGACCCCGGCCCGGGCGGCCCTGCCCGCCGCCGGCCCCGCCGCGGCCCCCGCTGCTCCGGCCCCCGCGCCGGCCGGCGCCACCACGCATGCGCCACATCGGTCCCATCGCCGCCGCCGCCACCGATGCCGAGGTCGCGCTCCGGGGCTCTGGGCGAGCTGGGCCGGCGGGGCGGCCGAGGCCACGCGGAGGAGGCGCTGCTGGCGGCGGGCCAGGGGAGGCCGGGAGCCGCCTGTCGAGGCGTGTCTTGTCTCCGCGGCGGGGCCGCCGGGCCTGCGGGCGGCGGGCCGCGCACACACAATGGCCCTGGGGAGCTGGGCCGCGCGGGTGGGCGCGCCTCCAGCGGGGCCTAGCCTGGCGCTTCCTTCCTTCCGTGCAGGCCCAGCTCCGTGGTAACCGCTGGCCTCGCCCAGCCCCACCTCTGCAGCTGCCCGTACCTGGCTCTTAACTTGCAATCTCAAAGCAAACAGTGATAAGCCCCTGGGGCAAACCTGAAATGCTGCACCCACTTCTGTAGGACGTGCTTTAAACCATCTCTAGGCTTTATACACACCTAACAGAGCTGAGCTGAGCATCTGTCAAGAGGCCCTCAAGTGCCAACAGGTAGCCCTCAAATAAAATAAATGGGCCATTCTCAATTTGTGAACAGCCTGAGGGCCACTTGCAAACTGCAACTCCCATCAAACCTAGGAAAGGCAAAGTGTGCTCCATTCAAGAAACATTGAATATTCAGTAAGTCCCAAAGTCTGGGGACAGGTGGATACAACTCATTAAATGAGTCACATTCCTTTTTTTCAAGGATCTCAACCTACAAAAATAACTGGGTTACTGCAAAGTAAGTTAAGGATAAGATGTGGAAGCCAAAAATGTTATAGGGGAGAAAAGGACTAGAAAGAATATTTTTAAAGTTAATTCTTAGATTCACTAAAGTCTCCAAACTACTGGAGCGAGTAAATGAGCAAGAAGAGGATGGAAGAATCTTGGTTCACAGAGCCAGGATTTTCATTAAATACCCTGTTTCCCCGAAAATAAGACAGTGTCTTATATTAATTTTTGCTCCCAAAGATGTGCTAGGTCTTATTTTCAGGGGATGTCTTATTTTTCCATGAAGAAGAATATGGTACACATTTATTGTTAAATGAAAAGAAAGGAAATTTATAACCTGTATATGGTACGGTAGTACGGTAGTTGTCAACACAAACCAGACAAACTGAATCCTACAGTATCAAGAATTTACTCATTTATTCAATGACAATCATGTCATCTTCTGGAGCATTATCATAACAATCCAATTCCTGAATTTCCTGGTGAATTTCTTGTGACTCCATTTCTTTCAGAATCAATGGACCAAATCTCTGATGTTTAGCCTGGGGGAGGGGGGCCTTATTTTTGAGGGGATGCCTTATATTTCACTCAGAAGGAAACCTGTAAGTAGGTCTTATTTTCGGAGGATGTCTTATTTTCAGGGAAACACGGTAGTACAAATAAAGAGTAACTAGTAAAATACACAGTTATTTAATTTTTTACCCCTTGTAAAGTAAGATCCTAAATACCCACAATCACAAAAATCACTTGTCATTCTCATTTCATGAAGTAAAAAAGCAGGAAAGATGTAATTTCAGAATTTCAAAAACGCAAATTTTGTTTTATTAAGAACTATATCATCCTAAATTCCCATTCAAAGTAAAATGTGTAAACTTTTGCAGATATGCACTGACTACTCTGGATTATTGAACAACAACAAAGACAAAATGTTTTCCCCATAGTGTATACAGAGAATGCAAGAAAATGCTGGCATGTAAGGAAAGGTGATTCTCAATTTTAGATAGGTTGGAGTTTAGGAATCTGTGAGATAAGTTAAATAGATATGCCATGGAAGCTAGAGAAAAACACTGCATAAGATTCAGTCACCCCCTCTGGGTGTTATGAATTGAATATTACTGTATTTTATTTTAGTTACACTCTCCTCAGCAACACATTTATAAATCTATTAGTATTCTCTTATTACAGCTCCCCAGATTAAAGCAGTTCCGTCTCACTTGTAGAATACCTGCTAAACTTCTGTACCCACCACTGTGATGAAGCCACGCTAGGTTTTCTAATGGGCATTGATGCTGGTTATATGAGAAGGCCTCCATGCCTTCCTCTCTACACTCCAAAGTACTTTCTTTTGCCTTGATACAGTAATGAAGGAATGTGAAATATGAAAAGCAGGTAAAATTGACAGTCTATTTGTTATATCTTTAACATTAATCTGATTATACATGAAGACTCCCAAAAGACAGAATTCATTAATACTACCTGACACTCTGAGTCGGGTATATGTCAAATAGACTAACTTTATTAATAGGAATAAATAGGAAGGAATAGAGGAAAGGAAAGGGGGAAAAAAAGAGAAAAAAAAAAGAATGGGTAGGGGACGAAAAGAAAAAAAAATGATTCAACGAAAGCTATCAAATACAGTTATTTAAGAAAGTCATGAAAGTTATTTATGCAGAGCAATGAACATTCACCTTAGGGTTAATAAAGATTCTGCCAATCTTTCTGAATAGGAGTTTAGACAATGGATGTAATTTCTAAATTGAAAGTATTTGGGATAACAGAATGACTGCAATGATTGATGCCAAAATTATTACTTGTGTTTAAATTTAGATAATATTCCAAGAACTCTATGTCTGAATATGAACATATATGGAACATAATTTCTAAATAAAGGAGCACAGAACTTAGAAGAATACTTCTACCCACCATTGTTAATGATTTGCATCTGAAAATTTTGTGCTAATAGTATAACATATATGAAAGTAAAATGAAAAAATCTTGGAAAGGAAAAATTATGAAACGTAAATAGACTAAATATGCAGTTATATTCTTAAAATAAGAGAATATAGGAATATATATATATATATATTGATATATATATATTGATATATATATAGATATATATTGATATATATATATATATATATATATTGGGAAAAATATAAAAGATAAATGTCTGTGCTTTCCTTCAAAAATGGGAGTTTCTAAACAGTAAAATTACTTGCTTATTAATAGAAAAAATCATCAAAGAACACAAATCTGTTGTGGGGTCAAACCCTGGGTTCAAAATAAGATCACCGGAGGCTGATTAATTAATTTTAAAAAGCAGGCAAGGATTTATTGAACTGGCCAGGACAGCCACAAGAGCACCACAGGCAGGTGGTCTCCACAGGACCGCACAGTTTCAAGGGTAAGCAATTCCTTTTAAAGGTTTAAACCACAAGCATTTTCCTTTTGTTCCTAAATCCTAAAGACTAAATTCTAAAGACTGGGGACAGCCGGCAGGGTCCGTTCCCAGTCAGGTCCTGCTGGACATTGGAATGTGGCCCTATCTTGCGATAGTGATAACACAGAAGCAGAGCTCAGCGGTTAGTCTCTAAAGGTTATCTACAGTTTCTATCCCCGAAGCTACTGAGTCAGTGGGAATCAATCTCCTGTGGTCCTGGTCCCAGGCAAAGGAAAATTGCCTTAGCCTCCAGGTCTCCACCTGGAAGCTGAGGTAAGTACCCAGTGTTTTAATCAGATGCAAGAGCCAGACTTAGCAGGGTTAAAATTCAAACAGCAATATTTTTACCAAAGTATGGTTGCCACTATATTTCAAAATCTATTTCTTAAGATAGTATTTTTGTCATTTACTCTTACTCAAAAGACGTAAGAATTCTCCAATAACAAATCTGAAACCTATATACCCGTATTTTCCGGCATATAAGACGACCCCCTAATTTTACAGTTAAAACATAGGTTTAGGCCTATATTCGCTGTATAAGACTACCCCCCCCCCCACACACACACACTTCAAAGAAAAGACTTACTTTGCCGTCAAGATCTGCAGGTAATTTTTATGCAGTTTTGGTCTTTTGCCTCCGATTTTCGGTTGACTTTTTTTTCCGTTTCAAAAGTCATCTTATACGCTGGAAAATACGGTAATAAAAGGTTAATATGCAAATTGACCCAATGGTGGGACAGCAGGTCACTATGACTCACACTGACCACCAGGGGGCCAGACACTCAACATAGGAGCTGCCCCCTGGTGGTCAGTGTGCTCCCACATGGAGGGCACTGCTCAGCCACAAGCCTGGCTGATGGCTGGCATGTGCAACTGCCTTGGCAGGAGCCTCTCCCGCCTTCCCGGCAGTAGTAAAGATGTCCACTGACAGCTTTAGGCCCGCTCCCTCCGAGGAGCTCGTGGACTGCTAAAGGGCTCAGGCCAGGCTGAGGAATCCCCCGACTCCCTCCCCCCAGTGCACAAATGTTACGCACCAGGCCTCTAGTTAAGGTAATGAATATCACATTCATGTTGGTATAAATCCTTCTACATCTAATATTTCTTTTTCCTCTCTCCTTATAATATCTCCCTATAATATCTCACTAAATGAATTTTGATTATTTTGATCAATTTTGAGCAATGTTGAACTCCTTAGTCTGGTATTTAACAGCTGTCCAAAATCTGGATGCTCTGGGTCTTTCCCTGCGTTCCTTACATTACTCCTCTGTTGGACTATTCATTCTCCTATTGAGTCATTGAACTCTTTTGTCCTGAAGTTTGGTTGTAACATCCCTTCTGTGGACTGAGTTGTGACTCCGCCCCAATTCTTATGTTGAATGAAGTCCTGACCTGTAGAGGGCCCCTTCAGAATGCACATGGATGACCTTTAAATTAATGTCAGCTGAGTCCAAGGTGACTGGCATGACCATCCCCTGCAAACATCCTCCCAAAATGTCAGAGACTGTTATCAGTACTGATTTCTTATCTTTATCCATGTGCTTGAAATGAGGAACGAATAGGACCTTGACTTACCCAGGTCTTGATATGCTAAATCCCAGGGATTAGGGGATGAATTGGACCTGGGCACACCCAAAACTTCTTTGACCTTAACCCCCCCCTCTGGAAATCAATAAATGCTCTGTGTCTGTGGTGGGTGTTGACTGTCCCTCCATCAGAGTGACAGCCTCCACCCAGCACCCAGCTTTTGGATCTATTTCTGCCTCTTTTCTCTTTCTTTCTTTTATTTCTTAATCCCAGCTCCTCCACTCAGGAACCTGTCCTTCTCCCTTTCCGTGCGGATGTGGAAAAAGGAGAAGCACCCACCGCACTGACCTAACATGGTGGTGTTTGGAGATGAGGCCTTGGGAGGGAGTTAGGTGCAGAGGAGGTATGGGAGTAAAGCTCTTATGATGTGATTATTTCCCACGTGAGGACCTACCACAACAAACCTGCTTCCTTTCTCTCTTTCTCTGCCAGTGAGTACACAGCCAAAAGGTGGCCACCTTTAAGCCAGGAAGAGACCCCTCTTTGGGGAACGGAATCAGCCAGCACCTTAATTTTGGATTTCCTGGCCTCCCTAATTGTGAGAAATAAATTCTTA